ACGCTTTTATGCTCTGCGGAAGATACGCCACGTCCTTCGCAGAGGTTTTATTCAATCCAAACCTCAAGGAAGGAAATCCTTCTCCGCTCCAGCTTGATCTCAGCTCTCCAACTCTCTCATCTCCACTATCCACCAGGCCAGCTTGCCCGTCCAGGCTTCCTCTTTGACTGAGCTTCTCAATTTTTAACTACTTTTCCATTCTCATCCTGAGAGAAATATCAGAGCTTGTCCTCATTGACGCTTTCTTCCTGTGACCATAGGCCTTGTTGAATAATAATCAGTGGCCGCCTCCTCACTTCTCATTCCCGAATCCTCTGAGAAGAGCATCTTCAGGAGCTTCATCCAGTGAGAATCTTGGAGCTGCTGTTCCTTCCTGTGACTTCATCAGCTTCTCCTCAGTAGAGTTGAAGGAGGAGAAAGCAGGATCTATCACTTCAGCTCGGCATACTCCTCACCCAGGCTTTGCGGCTGCTGGGACGAGTGGTTGGGAAATGGGTTGCTTTGTCAGCATCTAGAATATTGTAGGATTCAAAAAGGTCTTCCTCTAATGGCAGATCCAGATTCTGCACATGGCTTGGAGTATGATTGTTATTGAGGAGAAACTGCCCCTTATTACTTATATGCATTTGCAAAGGAAGGGGAATCCAATTGCTTGAGAAGTTGGTGGATCCTGATGTGGAATGATGGGTATCTACCGAAATAAATTGAGAGCTAATTTTAGTGTCATAAAAAGAATGAAGATAAAAGGATGGAAGAAAAATGTCAAGTACCAATGGGGAGAAGAGTAGGGTCCAGTTAGCAGGATCTTGACTTTATGCTGGCTGAATTCGAAACAAATATCAGAAGGATATGGAAGGTGAATAAACATATATACAAGATTCAGAGTTAAATCTTAGAAAAATGGTGTTATAATTAATATGGAATCGATATTTCATCAAGTGCAGGTTGCCGATGGATGTTGAAGATTTTCTTTAGAGTTGAGTCAAGGTTTTGAGCCTTGTCAATTTTGGATAGAAGAATTGAATAAAGGGAACTCACTGACTCTGAACGAAGTGGTGGGTGTTGTCTGCCGTTTTTGTGAATTCTCATTAGAGTTGTCAATGAGATTAAGAGCAGTCGGGGACAGAATTCAGCGTTTTACTTTATTTTCTGACCAAATTGAATAACTGACAAGTACCGATGAGAATCGAAGTGATCAGAACGAATAAGACAGACTGAAATACAATGAGAATCCAAACCTTCAATTTTTTCGAAGATGAGGTTATGGTGGCAGAGTGCTTGCGTTTCTTGATGAGGGCCGATGGATCTGACTCATCGGAGGACTCCCAGTCCTTCTCCTTCTCAAAGGCGACAGTCTTAGAAGATTTCAAAACTGTCGAAAAAAGGAGAACAGTTAATTGACAGTATAAGGAAAACCAAAAGATACTCCTAAAAGAGGTAGCAAAATCTCACCAAAAGGTGATGGAGTCAAAATCTTGACTCGGTCGATATGTACAAGCCAGGGAGGAAGAAGAATTTGAGGAAGGTTTAGGTAAGGGAAATAGGACAATTTCGATACAGAAATATCTTTGTTTTTGGGTTTGGGACGAAGAGTTTCTTTTAGGGATCTCAATTCTCGAACCCATTTAGGATGAGTTAAAGATTTGGCAAGTCCAAAAGGAGCTGTGGGAAAAGTGGGAAGGTGATCGGGACAATACATTTCAAAAGGGGCTTTACCTTGAGGATTGATTATTTTATGGTTCGATCGATTAGTGTCTGTTTTATTGGCTAAGGAAATAACAGCATCATAAAAGGTCGATTCTAATTTCAAAGGGTTGTAACAGACTCGATAAAAATTTTTGAACCGAGATATTTGGAGATAGTGGGAGTGTGTACCTTTCTTCGCCTTCGATTTGTCCTGCAACACGAGAGAAGGATGAGCAGTCAATTTTTGTTGAACTATGTCGAAATTAGAATGATTATTCAAAAACCAATCGGCCCACCACTCAGAGAAACCAAGAGTTGATAAGTAATTAGATTCAAAAATATAAGGATAAAAATGCATCGGGGTTTTTGGCAGCAGTTTGGTGAGCTCCCGTCCGATTGTCGATTCACTTAACTTGGACCTTGGGGAGGTATTGAGGGGGAAAAAGGTAAGGCTTGACTCAAACCAAACTGCCTCGAGAAAAGTTGAGGGTAATAAGTAACAAGCTGAAGGTCCTTTGAAGGAAAACCCGATACTAACACATCTTGAGTCAAATAATTGCTCCATACTTCGACCAATTCTGACTGTAGTCCCAGAGTAAGAGCAGGAAATTTCGATTTAAACCACACTGGTCCTCGAAGTTGGTCGCTTATTCGTCCAAGATTCACAGTAAAAGGAGCCAAATGCGGACCAAAATGAAATTGAGTTAACAAAAATCTAAGGTAATCACGATAGGTGGTCTCGTCGGATTTATGGCGGGGATGACGAGAAGATAATCGAGCACCCTCTAAATTTAAACTTGGGGGTATCTGGGAAGTTGGGGGGAGGATACTTTCAAAAATTGAGTTTAGCCATAATTGGATAAACCAAATAGGACCCGAAAAATTTCCTGAAGCCCTAGGGGTATTCAAAATCTCGACGGCTTCATCAAAAGCAGTATATACATGGGCTAATAAAAGTTTTGCTAAACAAATTCGAGGTTGGCCCGTGTGTAGGAGATAGGCAAGGTTGTAAAGTTGGGATGAAATTTGGATGGATCGGGGGCAAAAAACATGAATACATAGCCAATACACTAGGAAGGCTATATGCTCCTCATCAGTTACAACTATCGATGGATCATCGACGAAATGCTTTTCGATAAAATGTCCGTACGCCTTCGATTCTCAATCAATGTTTGACTTTAAAGAATTATCCGAAGGAAAAGCACCCTTAAAATATTTTTCCCCTATGGGTTTTAGTCCGGTAATAGCAGCAATCTCAAAGAGGGTGGGTGAAAGTGGACCACAAGGTAATTCCAAAGCATGTAAGTCCTTGTTCCAAAGATGGAGAGCTGACAAGAACATATCCATATCCAAGTAAGATAAATCGCATCGAGACAAATGCAGGAAATCGAAGATCCCCACATCTTTCCAATGGTTCCCAAACTTTGTTTTTACTCGATCAAACCACCTAACATACAAGGGTTTTTTGTGGGGAGGACCCATACGGTATACTTTGGATAAAATGTTTAAAAAATCAATTCGAACTTCAGATTGATGAATGGGAGCCTGACTCTTGGAAGAAAGATTGATGGAAGAAAAAGATCCGCTACAAGAACGGATAGGACCCCAAAAAGCATAATTTACATCACCAGCAGTGTAAGGAATCAGTACCTGCGTCTCAGCAACTTTCTGAGAAGCTTCCTCCAACAAAGGAACTGGAGCAAATTTCTGGTTATTAATTTCTAGCAGGTTAGCGGCCAACGAGGGAAGGGGTGGGGCAGAAAAGTCAGAAGATTTGGATGAGGTTGCCATTTCACTAGCTGATAGAGCAGAGGAAAACAGAGGGTAAAAGACGGAGGTGCAAGGTAGAAGACGAAGATGCAGAGGAGGAGTAAAATTTGTGGTGAAAAACAAGGGTGAAAAGGTTAAACAAATGTTTAAAGAAACTAACTAGGGTACTGGAAGCGACGGAGGTGAAGGGTAATTAATGTGGCGTGTGCAGTGAGGCGGCAGAACTGACATGATAGGTGACATAAAGTGGAAAAAACCCTAAAACCCCAACCACCCTAAACCCTAAGTTCTGATGGGCCTCCAAAAGGCGGGAATCATGTTGAAAGAATATAAATACAAACTTTTATATTCTTCCAAGGGGGCATTCTGTTAATAGGAAATCGATAAAGGGGTCGAAAAACGAAGGAAAGAAAAAATCAAAGACCATACGATTGGTAAAAGACATCGAGAACGTATTTTCGATGTAATTGGTAAAAACTGGTAACCACAAAGATAAAATTACATCGAGAATCAAAATCGAGAATCGAAGAAACAAATTTCGATGCCTATTGTTGAAGTTAGAATAGTACAAAATTAAAGGGAATCAAAAACAAAATTTAAAATACTCGATGTCTAAAATCGAGATCGAGGGAACAATTAACACACACAGAGAACGTGGGAAACAGTTTTCAAACCGCAACAGAGATCGAAGGAGGAGCAGTTCTCTTATACGTAAGAACGTGGAGTGCAGTTTTTAAACTGTAAAACTAAAGGAACGGGCACGTAGGATCGTGGTGATAGTGATATTAACCACTCTTGGGAGGTTACTTGAAGGATGCTCTATAAATAGAGCGAGGACTGGAAAAGAAAGGGGAATTGGCAGAGAGAACAAAAATACTAGTGAGAAGTCTACAGGAGAACGACGCAATCATGAAGTTTCTGGCGATCTGGATTTCCATTTTCATTGACTGCCTTTATCGCTTTCTTTACTTTCCCTGGTAATTTATGTTCACGTTATTTACTTTGATGCAGTTTATGTTCAAGCAACTTTAAGTTTATGTACTTTCGATTCCTTATTATCTGACTATTTAAGATTATGCATCTAAGTTTTTCACTATTTACACTTTATGCAATCTCGATTTCCTGCCATTTACATTCCCGCAATTTCGATTCTTTGTTATTTACATTTAATGCAAATTTGAGGTTTCTGTATTTTACATTTCTTCGTAGCTTTATATTTCGTACTGCTCTTCGATTTGACATTTTACTGCTTTCTTTACTTCGATTGCTTTAAATACAAAATACCAAAAAACAGCATTTTCGATTATTAATCTGCACATTAGGTTGCATTGTTAGTATTTTCAAACATCATGGTTTTCGATTCTCATACACATTTCGATTGAAAATCGTTTGCTAGCCTAAGTAAAAAGAATCTACGTGGTTGGAATTTGGTTAGAACAAAATCCGTTAAAAATCGAAATCGATCAAAATTCCACCGAAACAATATGTAATTTTAATTTATGTAATATATATATATATATATATATATATATATATATATAAAATTATATATTGCTCGGATCTTGATCGGGTGGGAGCTTCCCAAGCTCTATGCTATTGGGAAACTCTGCATGGGTCTTACCACCTTCTTGATTGACTATATTTGAGTCTTTGGAGTATTTGGGGATTATATTCCGCGCCGAGTATTTGTGCTTGTGGGCTAGGGTGAATATTGCATACCAGCGGATCTGGTGGTCGACAATCGTTCGGACTTGGTAAAGGTTGTGTTTTACCCGTTGTCAGAATCGAATGTAACCTTCCGCTGAGGCCACCCATCTATTCTTCATTTTAGGGTGGCTATGACCGACTTTCGTCTCTGTTCGACCAGTCTGTCTCACGCTTATACCATTACACTCGTGAGCGAAATCTTAGCTTGAACCTACCTTCGCATACCTCCTTTACTCTTTAAGAGGCATCCGCTCCTGATAAACTACCCACTTCGCAGTACTTTCTCTTCTTTTATCTTATTGCTTTCTTTTCTCCATTTCTCACTTGGGTCTAATTGCCAGGTTCACCTGGCAACGGTCTTTGAAACATCTATTAGTTGAAGAGGCCTAATGCTGATATTTTTCTTTTTACTTTCAAACAACAATTAGAGTTTCAGAGTTCATGTTAGAGTCTCCTAATTCCACTAGGAGACAACAAAGATATTGGGTTCAACGAATGAATGAAGTTATGATCATACCCGGATAGAAACGACGGTCTTTGTCTCCAAGTCGGCCATACAAACAAACAAAAAAGGATAAAGAATGGTCCCTTAGCACAATAAGAAGTGCGGGCGATCCAATTCCTACCCTAGCTTAGACGGAAGAGAGATCCTTTCAAGCCCTCTTCACTTTAAGGGAATGATTGTTGTATTTATATAATTTATTATATATATATATATATATATATATATAAATTATTATTATCTATTTGTTATGGATTAACATTAATCAATAAATTAAATATTTGTAATTATCAATTATATTACACATCACTATTATTTTATGAATAATAATTTAATTTGGGTTTCGATGAACGGTCCGTGATAAATTGAATTGTTTAGAATCGGTTACTTATTGAGAGATCCTTGATCTTTATTGATAGGTGTATAAAACTGATACCCCATTAGTCAGTTGTACGTGTAACAACATAAAACCACTTTATAGAGTATGTTCAATTGTAACCTATCAAGAAAAGAGCAATATTCTCTCATACGCGCTTTAAGGATCCTTCGACGATTCCGGGTACACAATCTTTCTACTCTTTTGAATATATTATATTTATTGTATCTTATATTGTTATGTGTTTTAAACAATTGGTATCAGAACATTTAAGATACAAAATATAATTGTTCATTATTTTTAAAGAGTGTATCATAAATTTTAATAATTGTTTATTATCAAAAGACATGAAAATTGGTAAATTTAACTTTCTCGTTTGAATTCAAATTCATTGATTAAGAGGTGAATTTTAAAATTCTTTTTTGGGCCAGTTGAAATTGTGATTAGAACTCTAATTAAATAAAATCCCCAATTTTTATCAACCATAATTTTTCAATTTAAACTCTTTTGAATCCCCAATCTTCATCAACCCTAATTTTTCAATTTAAACTCTTTTGAATCCCCAATTTTCATCAACCCTAATTTTTCAATTTGAACTCTTTTGAACCCTCTGGCCGAACCCAAATTTTGAAACCCCTTTCTGCAACAATTCCGGTCGCATTCCTGAATTAAGGGTTTCTAGGTCATTCGCACTCACGCCGGTCACCAATAATGGTTTGCTCATGGTGGTGCGATATCGACAGAATGTGTTGCGGTGGTTGTTCGCGTATTGTTCGCAGCGGTGGAGAAACGACGTTTGAGCCGCTACCTGGTGGTACAAAGTGGTTCGTCGCGACATTGGTCTCTCCGTCGTGGTGGCACGCATCGATCTGCATTGGTCACTCCGTCGAGACGTGCGTTGTCTTCTTGTGGAGGTGCGTCTGGTTCTCATGGTGGTGGACTGTTTGTTCATGGTGGATCTGTGTTTTGTGCCACTGGTTAACAGCGGCGATGTCATAGTGGTGATCGGTGGTGCACGTTTTCAGCGACTAAACGACGTGATTCGCTGTGTTCATGTATGTGCGGTTCCATGGACGTGGCTTTGCACGTTGTGTTGTGTACGAGTTGCGTGGAAGATAATTCAACATTAAATTCAAATAGTATATTATTTTATTTTTATAAAAATATATATATAATAATAAGAAAAGATGAATATGAAAACAAATGGTATTATTATGTTTTTCGTAAATTTTTTATTATGAAGAAAATTGGATCAAGAGGTTATGTGAATGGGCTCATGCAAGATGCTGGTCTCAAGAAAGTCCCCAGGCCTGATCTACAGAAATGTTGACTCTTAAAAGCGATACTTTCGAGCCAGGACTTGACTTTGGTCTTTGGACTTATAAGGGGCTGAGACACATGTGAAGCCTTATCTTGTCCGTCAAAGAACTTATTAAAACAAATAATAAAATAAATAATAATAATAATATTAATTATTAATTCATGCATCATATAACTTTTTATTTTTTATTTTTTTCTTTTGTTAAGCATGATATAATTTTATATGATTGTAAACTCACCTATCGAGGGTATAATTGTATAAAATTTTGTGAACATAAAATAATTTAATTATTTTATTTAATTTTATATTACATTAATATTAATTATGCCCTATCGGTATTTTATTGTTAATGATTTTTTTTACAATGTAATTTTAAATTTTATTATGTCAATTATTTGTCTTGTACCCTATCGGTATTAGATTTCTTGTAACATGAGATGTGCATTGTATTCTTATTTTTTATTTTAATTATATTTTTTATTTACTATGACTCGGGACCCTTAGGCGGGGTCATAGTGAATGAGAAATTTGATATTATAAGCATGTTTTGTTGTGTATTCAGAGACATTTATTTTGTTTATTTGCACAATAATTGTGCGTATTAAATGTTTCTTCGTTATTTTGATACCAGTTTCTTTGCCTATACAATTGACTTCGGTCAAAACTTTAAATGGGACAAATTTTGAGGATTGGAAAGAATATCTGGATTTGTATTTGGCAATTACCAATATGGACCTTTGTTTGAGATAGAACGAGACTCTAGCTCTTACTCCTGAGTCCACTACTGTCCAAAGAGCTTCTCGTGAGAAATGAGAACACTTAAATAGGGTGTGTTTGATGGTGATGAAATACACCATGAAGAAGTCTATTCGACAAAGTATTCCAGATGATGATAATGCTAAAGTTTTTCTGAGATCAGTGGGAAAGAAGTTTAAGACTTTTGATAAAGCTCAAAAGGGTCAATATCTGTCACTTCTTGAGAAGACCAAATATGATGGTGTCAGTGGTGTTCGTGAGCATATGATGAAGCTTGTGCACTATTATAACAAACTCAAATCTTTAAAGGTGGAGCTTGGTGACATTTTTTTGATCTGGCAGGTTATGGAATCACTTCCTTCTCAGTTTGATGTATTGAAGACTTCTTACAACGCTCAGAAGGAGGAATGGACAATTGATGAGATGATAGCTATTATTTCCCAAGAGGAAGAATCTATTAAAAAATCCAAGCCGCATAGTGTGCAGTTCACAACTATTACTTCAGGTACTAAACCTGTTAAAAAGGTTTCAAAGGAAAATCTCGCCATGAAAAGAGGAACACAGGGAAAACATCAGTGGGTTTGGAGCCTAAGAAGAAGTACTTTAAGGGGAATTGTGCCTATTGTAAGAAATTTGGGCATAAGCTAGCTGACTCTTATATTCTTAAGAAGAAGAATGCTAATAAGGAAGGTAAACTCATGTATGTTCTAGCTTGTTTTGAATCCAATGTTGTTGATGTTCCTCCCAATTCTTGGTGGTTTGACTCGAGTGCTACTATTCATGTTGTGAATTCTTTACAGGGGTTCACAAGCCTGAGAAAACCAAGTGACCTTGAATCCAAGATTATCATGGGAGATGGAGCTAGAGCACAAGTTGAAGACATAGGAGTAGTGTCTTTAAATTTACCTTCTGGACATGTTTTGTTATTGAAAGACGTTGTTTATGTACCTTCTATGCGAAGGATTTTAATTTCAGTTTCAACTTTGGATAAATGTGGCTACACTTTTGAATTTGGCAATGACAAACTTGTTATTTATTTCAATTCAATTATTGTTGGCTTAGGAGTTTTATGTGATGGGCTTTACATGCTAAATTTGAATGACATGTCTATTAATTCTATTGTTGGACATAAGCGTAGTAGAGTTGATGAAAATTCCTCTATGTTGTGGCATAAACGTCTGGGGTATATTTCTAGACCTCGGATTGAGAGGTTGATTAAAGATGGTATTCTGCATTATCTGAATTTTTCGGATTTTGATACTTGTGTTGATTGCATTAAGGGCAAACTTACTGCAAAAGTAAGAAATGCAGATGCAAACAGGTGTGATGATATGTTGCAACTTATTCATACTGATGTGTGGACCTATGACACCCATTTCCATGGGTGGATACAGGTATTTTATCACGTTTATAGACGATTATTCCAGATTTGGATGGATAGATCTCCTACAAGAAAAGTCAAGTTCCTTGGATGCTTTTAAGTCCTTCAAAGCTGCTATTGAGTTGAAAACTGGAAAAAAAGATAAAATGTGTAAGGTCTGATAGAGGTGGAGAGTATTATGGCAGATATGATGAGACTGGAAGAAATCCAGGACCTTTCACTAGATTTCTTAATGAATGTGGTATTGAAGCTCAATATACTATGCCCGGTACTCCTCAGCAAAATGGTGTTGCGGAAAGGAGGAATCACACTCTTCTAGATATGGTGAGATGTATGTTAAGTCATTCCTCTTTACCGAATTTCCTTTGGGGAGATGCTTTAAGGACTGCTATGTATATTCTTAATCAAGTACCTAGCAAGTCTGTTTCAAAGACTCCTTATGAGCTTATGACTGGGAAGAAGCCAAGTTTAAGACACTTTCATGTGTGGGGTTGTAAGGCAGAGGTGAGACCTTATAATCCTCAGTTGAAAAAACTTGATCTTAAGACTATTAGTGGATTCTTCATTGGCTATTGTATCGGTTCTCGTGGTAGCAAATTTTACTTCCCTTCTCACTCCATCCGGGTTATTGAGTCTGACCGTGCGGTATTCTTTGAGGATGATTTGGACAGTGGGAGCAATGCACCACAACCAGTCACTCTTAGAGAAGACCGTGTTGTTGTTCCTGTACCATCCATTTCTTTTCCTGCAGATAATGTGATTCCAGTTGTCCGTGACGAAAATGATTCTTTTCCAGATTTTGTTGATGCTACATCACATGTAGTAGATGAACAAGTTCATGATGATGTGACTGAAGAGGTTCCTTTGAGGAGATCTCAAAGATTACGCAAGTCTTCTATACCTGATGATTATCAGGTGTATATTCAAGAGCATGAATATGATCTTAATGATGTTGATGATCCTACTAATTTTAAAGAGGCTATCTCTAGTTCTCATGGTTCTGATTGGTCAAATGCTATGCATGATGAGTTAGCTTCTATGACCCATAATGGAGTTTGGGATCTTGTGGATTTGCCACTCGGTTGTAAACCAGTTGGGTGTAAATGGGTCTTCAAGACTAAGCGTAATCCAGATAGAAAAGTAGAGAGATATAAAGCTAGACTTGTAGCAAAAGGCTATAGTAAGAGGGATGACATTAATTATAAAGAGACTTTCTCACCAGTCTCTACTAAGGATGCTTTTCGTGTGGTTATGGCTTTAGTAGCTCATTTTGATTTGGAGCTTCATCAAATGGATGTCAAAACAACTTTTCTTAATGGAGATTTATTTGAGGAAGTGTATATGATTCAACTTGATGGTTTTGCTAAAAAAGACAATGAGCATTTGGTTTGCAAGGTAAAAAAGTTTATTTATGGGCTGAAACAAACTTCTAGACAATGGTATTTGAAATTTGACCAGGTGGTCACTTCTTTTGGCTTCAAGGAAAACGCCTCAGATCAATGCATTTACTAGAAGAAAAATGAGAGTCATTTCATCATTCTTGTCCTATATGTTGATGATATTCTTCTTGCGAGTAGCAGTGTTGAACTTTTGGCTGAGACAAATTCTATGTTAAATAGCCATTTTGATATGAAGGACCTTGGTGATGCCTCTATTGTTCTGGGCATTCAAATTTTTCGTGATAGGTCACGTGGCATTCTTGGATTGTCTCAAAGAGGATATATTGATAAAGTTCTCAAACGGTTTAACATGCATTCTTGCTCCTCATGTGTAGTACCTGTTCAAAAAGGTGATAAACTCTCTAAATCTCAATGTCCTAAAAATGATAATGATAGAATTGAAATGGAAAAAATTTCATATGCTTCCGCTATTGGTAGTTTAATGTATGCTCAAGTTTGTACTCGTCCCGATATTGCTTTTGCTGTTAATGCTTTAGGAAGACACTTGAGCGACCCGGGTTTGGGTCATTGGAAAGCCATTAAAAAGGTCTTTAGATATTTGCAGGGAACTAAGGATTACATGTTGACCTATAAGAAGTCTGATCAACTTCAAGTCATTGGTTATTCTTGTTAGCAAAATTTGGGTCATGTATATATATGATACATAATTAAAATGTGTTAGGGTCATTATTTATTAAGCCAAATAATAAAGTGATCTAACTAAATTAAAGTTTTGGCTAAAGGCATATGTCATGAAAATAAAATTGTGTAGAGACCATTGAGCAATTTCTAATTTGATAAGGGACCAAATTGGAAATACTAAAACTTAAGTAATTAACCTAATTCTGGTTATTTTAAGGGGTCGTGGTCCCCTTCTGGGAGCACACACACAGAACGTAAGTATCAGTCCCGTTCCTTTCTTTCTATCCCCATCAAGAGAGAAAATCAATATGGAAATACAGGTGCTCTTCAGGTGGAAGACCATAAGATCAATATAGTGCTCTACAAAGACATCATCATTATGACTAATTCAGGTACGCTTTCGCATTCAGTTT